TTTCACGCTGGTATTCTGTGAGAGCGTGGTCCTTCCCCGGTCGAGCCGACCCATTCGTGCTACAACTATACTACTAATATAACTGCAGCATGGCTCTACCACGTAATAAACTAACGGTTTCAAACTCAGTAACAAAAAAAATAAAGATTTCAATACATGCGATTTTTAACATTGATGGTCAAGTAGTTAGTTTAAATTTGTTTATTTTGGTCCCTATTACATCGAGCAAAGACCTCGGGCACATTCAAATAGATCGATACGTGATAAGGTTTCTATTCAGCTGAGGTCCGTAGGCTAACAGGTATTATTGTGTATATGTTATGAACCAAGTGATTAATAGGACATAATTCATGATATTCAGATAGTTTAAAATGCCTAATATGAGAAGGCAACATAATAAAAACTATTGAAATATGCCAATTTACCTAAGTTGAATAAAGTCCGTTACTTACTGGGCAGAGCAATAAAAAGATAGGTTAAGTTAGATTTGGTTATGATCGGATAATGTGTTAAGTAATGAAGTATAAATCAGTATTAATTACCAGTACGTAGCCCGATTAGACATTATTCATATTGCCCGGGCATTATAAATAATGCCCTGATTAAATACTGGGCCCATAACATGCAGACCTTGTTAGCGCGTTAGTTAAATGCTGTAAAGGTTTTAAATAAGTACGTAGGGTATTTATGGTTGACTCATACAAAATTGACATTGATAAAGTCTATACTAACTACTACTAAAATTTAAGTGTCTGTCTTTTAATTAATATTATATATGAATATTGAAATAACAGCCTTTTATCTATCTTAGGGGGCTATTGGAATACCACTAAGACATGAATAACCATTATAAATTCCTTTGTCTGGCTGTCTGTCTATTCGTGCTAAAATTATGATGAAACTTCATGAACGATTTAGGCTAAGTCAGGATTTTCAGATATTTTATCCGAAATGATTTTTTTAAAAGCAGTTGGCACACTATTTTTTGTCTGTAAGTCCCAGGCCAACATGGGATATTAAAAATAATTTTATATTTAAAAAAATTATAATACACCTAATATTATTTTATAGCAATACAAATCCTTATAATCTAATAGTAGAATAAGATAGAATATAATAAAATAGAATCATTTTTTTATTCAATATAGTTTAATACATAATACATATGTTGAAATTATTTTTTTATTTGTCACTGGTTAATAAAAAAATCCTCATAATGATAATGAAAAGTCAACATAATAATGATGAATAAAAAAATCGAGTCGAAGGAAGCCCAGTCGACGGAGCCCCGCTTGGCGGTTTCTTTACTTCTAAGTGGTTTATGAAAAAAACCACGAAGGAGACGGTGGGGTCGAGTGAACGAGCGAAGCGAGCGAATAGACTAACTAGAATAGACCTAACCTGTCCGAGTCGGGATGCCCTAAGTCCCGAGCTCACTTCGTTCGATCTCACACTCAATAAAATACCAAAATATTAACTTTTATAATTATTTCGATTTTCTAGAGCGTTTATGGTAACATTTAAAGGTTAGTAATAAAAAAATAATGAACAAATATTTGGTTTTGCAATATTTGGTTTTTTGTGTAGGTTAACAAAAAAATATATAAACTTCGTTTAATGCTTTGCAAAAAGTTATGAACGATTATATTCGAAGAAGTGCGTTTATGATCACATTAAAAGTCATAAAACATAAAACTATATGAAATCTTCAGGTGAGATATTTTCCATATTTTTTTTATTTTATGTACACACATCAAGATACAGAAGCAGTCTTATAGTAATTTCATACAAAGGTTCTACTTATTCCATAATTAGCTGAAATATCTTCCAGTAGACCCATAAAGGAAATTATATTGAAATTGCAAACTTAGTGCACTAAAAAATTAATATAAAATAAAACAATAAATAAACATAAAATAAATCAATACATAATAATAATAATATAACATATATAAACTAAAACTAATATAATAGAATAATATGTATTAATTAACAGGATGCAAAGTAGTTATCTCTAAGACGTTTCTTGAATATCAATAAAGTTTCGGAATTTCTTATATTTGACAAATTTTCACAAATCCGCCATAAAAACGAAGATTTAAAAAAATTCATCGAAATCAGATGATTTTTCGATTTTATAGAGTCAAAAAACGTGGAGACCACGAAAGTATAAAATTACCATACAAATCAGTTAGACAGCTACACGATCGCATTAGGTAATTAATCTTGTAATGATAGTTGTAAGTTTCAGAAATAAATAAATAAATAAAAATAATTAACTAGCTAGAACCCCAAGTTAAATTATCGTATATTATCATAGTATATACCACAGAGTACCAGCGGGAAGTAGAATCTTAGCTTCTGCGCTTCGCTTCGTTATTGCAGGTGTCCGAAGGCCCAACCAGCACCCCTGATAACGGAGAATCCCTCACAAAGCCTCCACGCTAAGCTACCCTACTCTTCCAGAGCGTTGTGGGGGTATATTCCACTCACTACCAACACTGGCAAACAAAGCGATAAAACCATGACGACCCATGCCATGCTAGCCGTAGACTTCTGCAACATCAGGGGACTTGTCTAAACCCATAGTTTCTTAAGGCTATCTCTTACAACCTGTATTGTACTAATACAGGTTCGCTAAAAGAATGGATCTCGCTGAATTACTAAAAATAAAATACTACGTACAACAGACACAACATATAGTGTATTTATATCATAAATGCCAGCTACATCCAATTATCATTAATTTGTTTCTGTATTTATGTCAAATTTTTTAATTACTTAATTCAAACATTTACCAGATTTTTTCAAAAATGTTCCTACCTTTGAAAATATTTAAACAGCTAACCAAAGTACGGATTTTAAAAAACTGCTTTAACAGTATAAAAGAATATATAGAATTTAAACATAATAAATAATTTGATCCACCTTTGTTAGTTAAGTAGTTTTAATACCGATGCATGTACACCCGTAAGATTAGAATTTGATGATATTTTAATAATGTCAAATTCACAATGCAATATACTTCATTTCATTTGAGAACCCAGCAGCCGTTGTCCTGTCAGTTAATATCATATGTTGTGTTCAGCAACGTAAATACTGATGTCCTTTTAAAATGACTTCAAAAAGGAGGAGGTCCTCAATTGGAGTGTATTTTTATTTTTGTATGTATGATTGTGAACCAATTTGGTTGATTCCTTTCCTACTTTAAGGTGATGCCATATAAATTTGTAGAAAAAATTCCACCGCTGAGGGTATTAAATAAATAACTTCTCTTTTAGCAATTTGAAGTTGGTTTTTACTTTTTGTTAAAATTTATAATTATTTACTATTTAATTGAATATGCTTCAGTTACCGATCGATCTATCATTTCCAGTGGTTTGTATTATTTACCTTAAAAAAATTCCAAAAAAGAACCCACGGAATTTCTTTTGACATTACTTCTTCGTTTAGAAGCTATATCTAACTTGACCTGACCTTCCTTCGAATATGATTCTATAGGACGCCGTAGATGGAAGTTTATAGATCTAGTTGGCGATATAGAAGGTGAACTTTTAGAGTATTCTTAAACGACAAGCATGTATGCGTAGGTATATGATTGTGAATGAACCGAGAGTGATGTGTGACAGGATCTCAAGCCAAATAGAAGTCAGTAGTCATTTCCCACCCCTCAGGGTAATCGGTGTGAGATTTTATGTTCAAAAAAATCATTATGAGAACTACATGATCATAAAATGCAAATTAAGATTTAGAATTAAGGTGATATAGTAAGTCAGCTCAAATTCTAATTTCGCCCCTACTTCCCCGCGCGTTGTATGCTATATACCGACATGTTTGTAATCACTAATACTGTAAGTAGATAGGTGGTTAGATACTTATTTCATTAGGTTTATCATATTTATGCCTGTTTCTTAACGCCAACCCAGTCGCTTCTTATTTTATTACGGTTATTTCCCATTTTAATTTTACGTCGTCCTGTTGCGTAATATGTATTCTGATCGTAACCTCCCTAAGGAGGAATGAGGGAGGATAGTTCAAGACGCGATAGTTTAGATAATTTCTTTCAGTAAAATAATGGTATTTTAAAAAAAATAGTACTCTTAGTTATTAGTTAGTATGAAGTTTATGATGTAAATAAGTTTTTATCGAGTTTTTCGAAATAGTTTATTCTTTATTTCAAAATTAATGCTGCAATATTTTCGGCATAACGGAGGATCTTGCTAAGCCATTTGAGGTTATATTTCCCTCTAATAACGTTAGCAAACTGAGCTTTTCCCATTTACTGAACGTAAAACAAAATTTTAAAATAGTAAGAGAAATACCGATTACGCCGATTACGAAATGTAAATTCACGTGAACAGCAGAGTCGGAAAGGGATGTCCTAGGCGAAAGTTTATCGATGAAATTGGCGATATATCGAAAACGGGTCAAATTACGAGTACCCTTAATCGACGAGCATGTATGAGTAGATATATGGATGTGGAGGAGGCGAGAGAGGTGTGTCTGGATCGTGCCAAATGGAAGTATGTAGTCTCTGCCTACCCCTCTGGGTGACAGGCGTGAGTGTTTATGGATTATTATGTAAGAGAAATGTGTGGTTATAAGATATCATAACAAGGATCAAATTTTATCAGATGAAACTAATTATCACGTTAAATTTGACTTTTTAATTCTCGATGCTTCGGGTGCAGCACCTGCGGTCACAAGAGGGAAAGAGGTTTTTGACGTCCCGATATCATAGTTAATATATCAATTCCCCCGGTGCCAAAATACGCAAAATTAATTTCATTTAATGTGTAGTATTCGGGTAAACATAAGAAATAATTATCAAATATTGTTTTTAAAACAGATTTAATACTATCCTAAAAGATTACAGTAGCTAGCAGGTAAAGTGATCCCGCACTCACAATTTTGTTATATCAATATTATAATCAATGGACAATTAGTACAAAAGGTTATATCAAACCAACTCACCCTGCGCTCAGGATGCACGTCACAAAATGTCCGCAAAAACAAGTAGATTGTATATAACCTTAGACCACACTGTAGAACCTATAAAAGGGTCACCACTAGGCAATAGAGACACAGTTGTCTTAGCGACAGTTACACAAATAACTACGAGAACATACACACGAAGCAAAATGTTCAAACTGGTAAGTCATTTGAATTAAACTTTATTTACAAAAAAATTACAACTTTCACATGTTTTCTTTATTCAATTGTGCATATGGATGTATTGTTAAGATAAGGTAATATTAGAGCTGTTATTAATAAACTAAGTTTCACGTGAAGTATAATATGATGTCTTCTTACATAGTTTTGAAGGCACTTTTTTCATTAATGGCGTTTAAGCTAGGTAAGACATATAATTTTTAGTTTTTACACAGATTTTAGCTAATTTATTATAACGTCTATTAATGTAAAGGACTTCTGGAAAGTTGTGTCTGATTTTGTTCATTAAGGTAAGATACGATAACGACGGTGATCATCGTGTAGACTTTCACTGCGTTAAAAGCCGAATACTGTCCGAACTTAACAGCCCACCAGTTGGAAACGAGAAAAATAAATGCTACGTAAATTAATATACCTAACAGAAACATTTGTTTCAGAAGGAAACGAATTTTAGTAGTACATAGTAGGTTTGTATGGTGTACATTGTTCGTTTATCGTTCCTTATTTTGCATAGAAATTTGCATTCGATGAATAAAATTGATTACTATTAAATTCACTTCCTTCCTTCTACAATGAAACTTATCTGGTCAAAATAAAAAGTAAAACAAATTTTGTTTTTCAACAAAACTAATTAGGCAAAAACCAACTTATTTCTTCGGCGACTTGTAGTATATTTAATGAAAGCTCGCTTCAAATGGCCAAATTCGCAAACGCTACTTAATTATAAGCTGTCCTTATGTGTTGTGATGTCACAGTCATTTTGACTTAAAGTGATAGACATAGCACGATACTTAATATCATCTTAAAATTGAATACCGTTCGATTTGGCTAAAGTGTAGCAAATGTTGCCAGTTACTTCTCTGATATACGGTTGTACAGCAGAGAGACAATACCTTTTTTTTTTTTTTTTTTTTTTTGCATGGGGAAATGCCTACGCATACCCGCCTCGCGGGGGGCAAGGACGGGTTATGTCGGACTCGCACCGACTAAAACCCCATGGTGTTCCACCTTTGTCGCATATTGGCAGGGCTACGGGAACACTTTCGCACACATCCGCGACCCTACTAGCGCCTGCCGCCCCATGGCAGCACCTCCTCGGGAGAGGAAAATTCCTCCCAGGTAAGGCGCACCAGAACACATGGCGCGCCTTCCTCCACGGCCTCCAACTACGTCTGTGCAACAGACGCCCCCGCGTCCGATGCACAAAGGCCATGGGGCCAGGAAAAACGAGCACTTAGAAGTACTAGCCTTCCCGACCCCAGCGGCGGATCTGGTCTATGGCTCCGCCGCCAACCAAGATTCGGCTGCGGAGGGTAGGGAGAGCGGCGCCTCGCAATACCGACAATCCTCTCCCCCCGCAGCCCCACCACCACCGCATCAACGGTGCGGCCCCGTTTGAGTCGCGAAGGATAGGGCGAGTGGCGCATCGCCATACCAACACTCCTCTTCCTCCGCGACTCCACCTCGGCTGCAGCGGTAGAGGGTGCGCGAGTCCCCACTCGCTGCAGTCCACCAGCACACATCCAAAGTGGGCTCCCCAAGCCCACTCGGAGCGGCCACCTCAGGCCGGCCCTTCACCTCGGGCCAGCCACGTGGGTTCCTCTTTGTTCACCGTGGGAGACCAAGCCACGGCTACTAAGCCCCCCCGCCACGACAAGGCGGGAACCCGTTCGGGGGGGAGAGAGACAATACCTAAAATACACTATAGAAGATGTCTTGAGGATACCATCTACTTATCCTGTAATTAATAAAATTAAATTCAAACCCAAGCATATTATTGCATAATTTTATGGTACTGTAAGCTCGTTCCGCGTAGATTGGATCCTGAAATTAATATATTTAAAAGCTGAAGGTCAAACAAAGGTCATCAAAAACCTCAATCATCAGTTACCGTAGGTGCTGTAAAGAACCCGAAACCAGGAATTAAAATACAATGCGATATATTAAAATAAATGCGATAGTATCCGTAAAACTAATTTGTTTCAATTTTTTGTATTAAGTTTTTTTTTTAATTAAAATATTCTTAGTATTACTTTTTCCAGAAAATAACATTTGTTCAATCAACAGACATTCTCTTTTGTAAATAAAAGTAAATTTAACGAGCTTACAACCTTTTTAGGGATTCGTCGATGGATGTTCTAATTTTGCTCAAGGAAATTTTGATATTTTTAATAAATACGTGTATAATTTTAGATACAATATTCTGATGATTAGGCCCCAGGCTCCTAAAAAATTTAAAATAAATAAAATTAAACGCGTTATAAGTTAAGAAGTTCACCTAATAATAATATAATTTTTATTTTTCAGACCATCCTTCTTGCTCTCATCGCCTTCACCCAGGCTGGCATCATCGCCCCAGTGGTCCCAGTGGCGCACCCTGTGGTAGCCCACCATGTCATCGCCCACCCTGTTGTCCACCACAGAACCTTAGTTCCCGCTGCCCCAATAGTCCACGCCCCAGTCGTGCATGCTGCCCCAATTGTCCCAGTCGTTAAGCACGCACCAGTTATTGCGGTACATCATTAATAATGTACAAAGATGTCAGGAGTTGCCATAAAATCTAAAATAAATATTATACCTTTTGGTTTATTTACAAACATATTTTATTTTACCGAATTAGTTGTGTAATTTGTTGTAACTAATTGACATTGGCGAGTATTGAAGATGAGCCAAATAGGAGTATTGAGAGAGATATGGACGTGAAGAAAGCGAGAGAGGTACACGCCTCATCTCAGGATCGTGCCTAAAGGAAATTCGTAGTCTCTGCTTACCCTTCCTGGTGACAGGCATGAGCTCTTATGAATTTATGTGTGTATGAACTATATGTTTATTTGGTATCATTACGGAACTCAGCACTCAGTGCTATGATTGAGTACAATATAGTTTTTGGAACCGGTGAATCGAATTCACCAATTAGTGTTTGAGATGGAAAAACCTTCACGTCCGAGAAATAACATCATCTATCACAAATCAACCTGTTATGTCATTCCTAGAAAGTCGTGTGCTACCAGTGGAAAAATGTTTACTATAAATTTCACAGCACGCAAACCAATCAAGTTCGATTCCCGCCAGTATCAATAAAATTTGCCAATTTCTATTTTATGTGCTGATTTACCACTTGATTAGCGCTAAAACAAAACATCACTGGGAGAGCGTGGATAATTGATCCTTAAATCCGTCAGAAATGAGATGAGGCCAGTATCCACGTATATAGCTAGTTAATATAATAATAATGTTGATTGGGACATGATGGACACACACAATCTACTACACAGTTTTTCCCATTTTAACAAAAACACTCACATCGACTCATTCAAACGACTGTCAAATAACAACTACGCGTCCAAAATGGCTGAAATTTTTGTGCGTTACTGTCAAAAGATGCACAACTACATTCACTAGCTTTTATTAACAAGTGCTTCCATCTTCACTTTGAGGTCGGAAACTTTTCAGACCACCCTGGTAAGGATATTGTAAATTGATACAGTGTTATAGTTGAGACCTTTTAAGTATTAAAAACTGTTGTGTTACGTACCAATAATTTATTTCTTCTTAAATCATTAAAAATAAAATTAATATTATTATTCGCGGGTGTTTGTGTGTGGGTGCGTGCGGGGAGTGCGTGTAAGGTTTAAAATGCTTGACTTTCAAAAGTGATTTCTGTGACCGTTCCACTTCTAGTCATATATCGGATATAACTTTTTTTTTTACTTTTATTTCTGTAAAGGAATAGGCCTACAGGGTTACAAAAACAAAATTATAACTATTAAAAAGTTGGTTTATAATCAATTAATAATGATTTCATTAAAATAAATAGTACATTAAAAATAAAATTTAACTTTGCATTAAATTTCCGATCCAATTTTTAGTTATTATAAGGTTTAGGATCACTTACTGAACATAAAATCACAAAATGCTGACAGATCCAGGTGGCGCTTCAAGCGCCATCTTGAAAAAACGTTTTCAGCCGATATCTCGGAAACTATGCACTTTAAGACAAAAGGTATGCAAACTATTACTGTAGATAATAACATTTTGCATATTTTATTTTCAGTAAACTTTTTTTTAAATTTACCGTTTACGATTTATAGCCTATTTAATTAACCGGTTTTTCTATCGCGGCCAATAACTCTTGAAATAATAGATTTATCAATAAAATACCTTAATCCATTTTTAAAGATCAGTTTACTATCTACAATCTAATTTTTTTCTAATTTCCATACTTTTTGAGTTATAAGACGCTTAATGTTGGACTACCGGGCTAACTACAGAACCAGAGTTTTTTTTTTTTTTATTATTTTTTTTGTGTGTCTTTGCTTATTTCAGGGAAGCTAGTTACCAGAACCAGAGTACGAAACCTATTCAACTGCAGAGAGGTGTAAGACAGGTTGACGCAATATCCCCGAAACTCTTTATCACTGCAGTGGCATATTTTTTTAAGCTACTGGACTGGAAAACATACTGAATTGACGTAACTCGCCATTGACGTTAATACCGATGAGTAGTGACTCAATCTTGATTTGAGGACGATATAGTCCTTATAACGGAATCGCTGGAGGATCTAATCACTATGCTCAATGACCTTAATAGTGTCTCCCAATAGATAGGTCTTAAGATAAACATGGACAAAATGGAACCCATGTGTAATTTCCATGTCATACCTATGCCGATGGTAGTTGATAGCACTAAGCTCGAAGTTGTTGACGAGTATGTTTACCTGGGCCAAGTAGTCAGACTAGGTAAGTCCAACTTCTGCCGAGAGGTCAATCGACGGATTCAACTCGGCTGGGCTGCGTTCGGGAGATTGCGACACATCTCGTCAGGCATACCTCAAAATCTCAAACTAGATTATACAACCAGTGCGTGTTGCCAGTGACGACCTTTTCATCTGAGATGTGGTCTTTCAATGCTTGCCGTATTAGGAAGCTTAAAGTCGCTCTGCGAGCTATGGAGAGGGCTATGCTCGAAGTTTTTCTGAGTGATAAAACTTAGGAATGAGGATATCGGACAACGGATTAGTAAGCTGTCAAGTGGCAATGGGCTGACCACATAGCTCGAAAAACCGATAACCGATGGGGAAAAAAAGGTTTTCGAGTGGCAGTCTTGTACCGACACTAGAATGAGTGACAACCTGGTAAGATACGTAGGAAGTCGATGTGACTCAGGACCGTGCTTTGTGGCATTCCTTGGAGGAGGCCTATGATAAGCAGTAGACTTGTGGAAGGGCTGTAATGATGATGATAATAATTTATGAGTATCTTCTTTAGTTGATTATCCTATATTTATTTTTATATCCATTTCACTTTGAAATATGATTTCGCAACACAAATATTTTACGACCTTCGATAACTAAGCATGATACTGATTTCATCCAGCATCCTTATTTAGGCCTTGAATCTGTATGAAGGGACTGGCATTGACCGAAGCGCAATCCTAAACATTTGCAACATTGAACATAAATTATTACTTCCGCATCCGTCCCAGATTTCTCTTTGCAGATTACCGAAAGCCCGACGTAAACAAGAAAGCTCTTCCCGTCCCTGAGAGAAGTTGCGTCTTACTCGAGCACTGAGTTGTAATAAACCGTATCTTCAAGGATAATTGCTGAGGGGATGGGCAGTAATAGGTGTCGAGAGTGCAGTCTATCAGCGTAAAGGGCTTTTTGTTTGAGATTATGCGCCTTCCGGATAGGATCGTCCTTGGTAGTTTCAGAGGGAACAAGTTGACTTCGTGTCGGAGTTAAGTGTTTGAGGTGACTATGGCGGATGGTAAAAGTTGTGGTTAACTTTCTCTGAAGTGTCTTTTTTTTGCTTTTGATATTTTTTAAATTTATTGATGGATGTAATGTTGGTATTTTTCAACTAACAATATTTTGAGTAAATAAATTAATTTACGTAAATTATTTTAAATTGACTTTTTAAATCATTGTTTTGCAATGTTCAAAAATTATTATACATTTTTTTGTTATACGATGACAAACAAGCACTCAGTCCATCTAATGGTAAATTGATGCTGTGTCGTTTAGCCTAATGTGAAGGAGAGGGTGTACAGTGCAGACTACTCAAAGAATTTTTTTCCGGTGTTAAGCCATATTGTATAGAACAAGTGACTCCGGGTTGCTACTGAGAATATCTTGACGGAAACATTCAATAACTGATATAGGACTGACCCAGGATTCGAATCCGGATCCTTATAATCAACAACCGCGTTTATGGTCAGTTATCATCATTAAAACCCTTTAAGTCTACAGCCAAACATAGGCCTAAACCAAGGAATATCAGTGTAATTTCTACATAGCACATAAAGATTACTCAGTATATCATCACAATACAGTGATCCTAAAATATAATTTGTATATTATAAGGTCATCACAATACATAGTAACTTTATGTTTTTTTTAATATTCAAATTACTTTTTAAGTTTATTTTCTTTATCATGGCACTGTCAAAGAGTGTAGGTGAAAATTTTATTAAGGAGTCAAAGCGCTTCTCACTATATTTACATGATTTTACCACATCATTCATGGCATTCCTGGTTAAGTAAAAATGGTTATTCATGTTCCCTGAGCTTAATAGAAGCCATTCATTGCAATATTAAAGAGATACACTTCAATCTCATATGTATGGATACATAGACATTGCACATAAATGAAAAATACCGCGGCCAGATGTACAACCCTAATATCCCTGTTTCCCATCAAGCTATTGCTACATCAATAAATTTTATCGAAGGTTGAAAGTTATGCAAGTTATTGTTGTTCTTTCGAAGGTTGAACCTTCGGTTGTCGGGGAAGTTAGGATTTACGACGTGTTTTTGTGACTTATGTAGTGACCGATATTAATAAACATGTTTGTTATTTGGCCGTGGAAGGAAAAGGGGAGATCTCCCGCCGGGCAAGGTGTTCTGCCCGGCGAGCGGTTTCACTTCGGAACTTTGATAGCGCGATTTAGGCTTCGATGTGTTTCGCTTACTGCGCGACGTCAGCGCCGCCACAATTATATATAAGTTGTTTCAGTGATTGCTTTAGTAATCACATGTACTTAAGTACATCATACCTGATGGTAAGTGGTGATCTGGACGAAAATGGTAAAACGCTACTCTATTATATTACCACATCTAATTAACTCGTTCTTTTTTCTGTTTGGTACAAATTTTACAATAGTTTTAAATTAACATCTCATTGATCTAGAGACTTTAAACTTTAAATGTAGCTCTTAATTGGATTACAATGCAATATAAACTCACTTTCTTGCCTCTCTGTCTGTTCGTTAAAATTTAGCGATTTTAAACTATTTTCCCCATAAGGTAAAGATTTAAAACTTTATGTAGATAAAAGATATTAATATTTAACTACTTAAGATCCTTGTAATAAAATAAAATGATGTGTCTTACCTAGTTGGAAAAGCACCGCCCTTCACCGTCCTTAAGAAAATTTATCCGCGATTAGTCGTCCCCATTCAACGAGGGAACGCAACCAGCGTTCTGGGGAGTTCTTCACTATACCGCGGAGAGTGCTACATGATTA